TGTAAAACATCGTGATGAACGATCGTCGTCACAGGTGGAGGTAAATTAATTATTTATGAATAATGAATTAATTTATAACGACTTTTTTTGTAGCCTACCGTTTTAACTACCTGACCCGCATGGTCTTTGTTTTACCTATAAACAAATCATAAATACATAATGATATGTCACACACAAATTAGCACCTGTCAATCACTTTTTTCCGCGGGACTCTGGCATGAATAGGCAGAGTGATCTGTGTCGTTGTTATGGCGTCGAGAAACTTTGTCGGAAAAAAAGGTGCTCAACCAACAGTATCTAAGGTTTTCACTAAAATGATTAAATACTGAAAGTGAAAGATTGAAGCAGTGTACTGACTCTGACACGTTACCTGATGGATTCAACAGACCAAAGAGTTGTTATAGAGACAAGATGAATTAAATATCACATTTAACAACTATAGTGAGACACGATCCAGCGGTACATCCTTAATAAACTGTCCGACGTGCACTGCTCTCTCAGTCTGAGTAAAATCTGAGTAAAAGATGAAACCCTCCCCTACTAAATTTTCATTTTAATTCATTAATAAAAAAAAATAATAATAATAAAATCAGCAGCAACGTCTGGTTCACGTAGACTTAACTATAATATTAACTATAGCATATAAGATTATTTTAACGATTTATAACTACAGCCATTTAGCAGATGCTTTTGTCCGAAGCAACTTACATTTGATAAATTTTAATTATGTTAATGTAAGATTTTACAAAAAAAAGAAAGAATGCTGAAAACAGATACAGCAAATCTCACATAAAAACATAATTTTCATATATACAGAGCTGTATCTTTCAAAAGGAAGCAAGGAAAAAAGAAAGAAAGAAAGAAAGAAAGAAAGAAAGAAAGAAAGAAAGAAAGAGAAAGAAAGAAAGAGAGAAAGAAAGAAAGAAAGAAAGAAAGAAAGAAAGAAAGAAAGAAAGAAAAAAAGAAAGAAAGAAAGAAAGAAAGAAAGAAAGAAAGAAAGAAAGAAAGAAAGAAAGAAAGAAAGAAAGAAAGAAAGAAAGATGCGAGTGAGCTGCAGTAAAATCAGAGAGCTGGAATTGAGCTGTCAGCTGAATTGCCGCATGGGTAAGTGGGCCCAACTGAGGGGTGGCATTTCTGCACTGGGGAGAACAGCTCACTGCACTATCGCAGTCACAGAAATCCTTCACGTCTCGCTTGGATGCCTCGAACATGTCGCCCCGGCCCAGGCCCTGCCCCATCCCATGAGGACCAGGCTAAAACACTCAATGTGCTGGGCTGGAAATGCCATCTCGAGGTACGTTCCAAATTGAGTTGGAAAAAAGACATTGTTGTCTCACCCTCAACATTTGGCCTGAAGCAGCACTTGGGCGGCAGAACTCAATTCAGCAACACAATTTAGTCACACACAGTAAGAACCAAACCGCCTGACAATCATGTCATAATGATATGCAGAATGAATAAAAACACATGGCAACCAAATGCCCAGTGCTAAACTTGCAGTCTTTTAGACTGACAATGTCATGCTCAAGGCTGTTATGTTCACAAGACCTGAAGGTGTCATCATTGTAGCTTTTGTTGGAGCTCATAAGCGGCAATTTAACAGTTGATTTGCATCCTTAATATCAGTTTTCCACTGTTGAGTCTGAAGTAAACATGCAAGTGGGTATCTGGGTGCGTCTCCACAGAAAGTTCCTGGACCTGATCAATCCTCGCCTGGGCTTCCTCTGGGACCATGGCCATTTTTCTTGGGCTACAAAATAACTTAGACTGAGGCCCAATCCCAATTCTACCTTCTAGCTCTTCCCCTTACCCCAATTATTTTTAGCTTGAAGGAGTAGGGCTAAGCGGAAGAGGTAAATACCCCTTCAAATTAAGTTTTATCAGGACCACCCTCAAAACCAAGGGTTTAAAAAATTTCCCAGAATACACCAATCCACAAATTTGTATTTTTGTCATTATTACGAATTTTTACAACAAACAATAACATGTTTAATATATTCACAACCACGTTCATGTTTTACCGTCATGCTTAAAAAAAAAAAGCTAAAATAAAACCCACTAAATTTCACAACCTATACTCCATAATCATAACTCCTGTACAGCAGTCCCACAACATTCTGACACTCGATGACACTCAAATACCCTGTCAGTAATGTCTAGTGGCTGAGAATGGGCTTTTTACAGTGTCTGCTATAATGTAAATGTTGCTTTTTGGTGTGTTTACGTTGATGAATATGGCCACTGTGTTAAATGCACAGTTTAGTTACAATCTTATTGTCACATTTGATCGCTATGATAACATAATATATGCCTTCAGTGATTTCCTGAAGATAAATACCAAAAAATAGCACAACTGGAACTACAGCAGTCGCGATCGTCTGATCTCATATGAAGCAAGAGATCTCGATGACATCTGATGATGTGTGCAAGCGCTGTAGTGCTGTCCCAATTCTTAGGGGTAAATGTTAAAGCCATTCCCTTTCACCCTTGGTTGTAAGGGTCAGGGGGAAGGGGTAGGGGTACAAAAATAGAATTGGGATTGGGCCTAAAGCTTTGGAGAGGGGTGAATGCAAAGACAGAGTTTGTCCAAGTCTGGTAAGGAGGGTCTACAGCAAAATGCCTATTTCACCCAATGCCCAATTGTGCACAAACATAGAGTACACACAAGGAAAAGAACAGATAGTTCAGGTCAGCTGAAGATACCAGGGCTCTCCTGAACATCTGGGCTGAGGAGAATATTTGACATTGTATGCTGAAACGAAGATGTTAAAAAAAAATGTTTTTACCAAGTTTGGAAAGCTACAGATTCAACACACTATGGCATAGGATAAAAATGATAAGATTCACAAAGCTCAGAGCGGTGCAGACAGGAAAAAATGTGGTTTGATATTTCAGATGTATTATGGATGGTGTGCTGTGTCATCGCACCACGTTAGTGGAGAGACCACAGATTCAGCACAAAATCTTCTTTGATGTTTTAATGAAGAAAGAAGATCACCTACAAATAAGATGACCCTTGGATTAGTAAATTAACAGATTTTTTTTTTTTAATTTTTAACTGAAGTATTTATTTAATGCTGTACAGAAACATGTACATGTAATTTGTTCACTACAGTTGTCTCCATCTTGATTGTTTTATGATGATGCACCAGTGTGCTATTATCTGTGTGATTCTGATTTGATTATTCAAATTCGGATTTGCTATCTACTTCAGCACTGAACAGTTTGAGGATCTGAACTGTGTTTTTTGTACTATAAGCATTGCTGTCCTCTAATTCTAATTCCTTTTTTGTGTGTAGCATCCATGGCCTAACCTTTTGAGCTGACAAAAGTACAAGTTTCTAGCACTACAGCATCTTGTCATATTTAATTTACATTGTTTGCTTGTTTTGTTCAACAGAACTACCATAACCCTAGAATTAAGTGCGAGTTTGTGCTATCATAAATAATTCTACTTGTTGAGCACAAAAGTTTGTAACATACAAAAACTTTAAAAAACCTAAATCTTACCTATGAAATGTTATGCCCTTAAGCTTTGTTTTCTTTGTTTGCTCGTTATTACACCCGTATGCAGCACAAAAGTCTAGCATCTTCAGATTGGCTTCACTGTTGAAGATTGTGGTTGAATGGCAGTATTGACGTATGCTCATGGTCCATATGCGATAGCTAGGGTATACATCTATAGTACAAGGCTCCCCAACAACGGCTGTCCACTGCTCCAGGTGTGTTCTTGGTCTGTGCATGCACTTGGAACATAAATTCTGAGTCACCATAGTTGGCCACATGTCACATCTTTCACTATATTCACTACTTTTGGAACATAATGTGTATTTTGTTAAAATGCCTAGGTTATTTTGAAAACACAGTTCTCCTAGCATGGTACAGGCACAACTAAAGTCAAAGTCCAGCCCTACACAAAACAAACTGAGGTTAAGCAAACATTACTTCATGGATTTATGCTTATGTTAGTATATTTCTTCTTATATTCTTATCTTGCACTGGCAGGCGGGTCTCTGCACTGAGCCTATGAGCTCGCCTGAACACCTGTGGGTGACCTATTCAGACCTGTGGTTTCTTCACGATGGACATCCAGCATTCTCAAGCCTCTGGTAACTAGACTGCACCTCTGTCAAGACATTTGGCCAGAAGAGGCCAGATGGGCCTAGTTTTTCTCAAAAAAAAAAAATAAATTCTTTACTTTTGTCAATTGGTAAAGGTTTTTCCTCTCCATGGTCACCATTTGCTAGCTTGGTTTGGGACTGGTGGAGCTGCGCATTGTTAGATTTGCTCTTCAGTGTTTGCTCTTTCAGCGGTGACATTTGTATTAAACTGAACTGAATTAAACTGAACTGAACTTCAACTGTAAAAACTGGACTGAAGCAATTTCAATTAACTTGATATTCATCAATGTTAAGCTGCTTTGATACAATCTACATTGTAAAAACGCTATAGAAACAAAGATGAATTTAATTTAATTTAGCTAGGACTGCGAGAATAAATTATAACCATTGAGGCCATTACCAGAAACGCTACACATAAAATGCTTGTCTCCTAAAAGCTTAGAAATACAGTAATAAAAAGAAAAAAGGCAACAGAGGAAATAACACTGAGCATAAATGAATAAAACGATGAGGGGGCAACAAACCATGTAAAACAGAAGAGAAGCAGAACAAGTAAGAGAGGATCATCAGTCCTGTTGACCCTTGAAGGCATGTCCACCAAAATCAAAGCTAAAGCATCAGTTTTACATCAAAGCAATTTGTGTTCTTCACTGTTATTGGCTAGTTCTAGACCTCATGCCCCAGCCTGTTGTGTGGGAGGCTAGATCTCTGCATATGAGTACCAATTGAGTTAACAAATAAGCATCACCTCATTAGCATGTTATCAATGTAGTGTTATTCATGTAATCACGTTGTTGACACTGAAATCCATAAGAGGGAAAAAACTCACTACATTAACTTAATTAATAGCAAGCTATTAGGAATGAGAAGGACGCTTACTGAGTCTCTTGGCGGCTTCCAGGGCTTCGGAGGCAGTGTCAGCCACAAAGAACCGCTGAACGGCCACACCGCTGTCCTGCATCAGCTTCTTGCTTTGGTACTCCTGCAGGTTCAGCCATCTTCTGGGACTCACTCGGGTTAACTAAAACACACAAACAAATATACACAGTTTAGTTATTAAATCATATGACAAGATCTCTAAAGCCTGCCAGCTAAGCAGTGATTGATGAAACTTGATGGTGAAGTGGCAGCAATCTATGATTATTTGCTTATCGAAGCTCATAGAACAGGGTATCAACGGGGTCCTAAATTCTTAAAATCCTAATTTTAGGTCTTAAAAAGTCTGAGATTAACTGAAATATTGTGTTGTGGGTCTTAAATCATTTTAAACAGGTCCTAATTTTCCTATGTCCATGCAAAGCTACCCAATCAGGCCAACACCCGTCCAATCCATCTCAATAAAAGTTTTTACAAAAGTTTATTTATTAACTCTTATTTATTACCTATATTTTTCAACACTATTAATATTTCTATTTTTAAACATATGTTTTCCTTATAATAACATTTGTTTTTAATGGCTTTTTTAACATTTTACCTGGAAAACTTAGAAAAACTTAGAAAAAAAAATCTAAAATATTTTTTCAGCCTCAATTTTGCAATCTGCACATCACAATTGTGACATCGCCACATCTGAACCACAGCCATATCACCCTGCAGCCCAAGAATGCTTAATCACTGAAGCTAAGCAGCTAAGCCTGGTCAATACCTGGATGAGGGACCACATGGGAAAACTAGGTTGCTGTTGGGTGTTCAGCCTGCGGTCTGTGTGGGTCCTAATGCCCCAGTAAAGTGAAAGGGACACTATACTGTCGGTGTGTGCCATCTTTCAGGTGAGACGTTAAATTGAAATCCTGACTCTCTGTAGTCATTAAATCCCATGCCACTTCTCGTAAAAAGTAGGGATGTAACCAGTGTCCTGGAAAAATTCCCTACATTGGCCCTTACCCATCATGGCCTCCCAATCTTCCATCCCCCGAATAGGCTTTATCACTGTCTCTCCTCTACCCCATAGCTGATGTGTAGTGAGCGTATGTAGCAGGGTATGTTGTTACACTATATTATTAATTTTGAAAGACATGATACACTTTCACAGGGTTAGGAGTCACATGTGCACATCGGCTGTTGTTGTGTAGTGAGAGAGGTATATGTTTTGGCAAACTCTGAGCTCGTCCTCTTTCCTGCTGTCTGTTCAGAGGAGAGGCAAAAGAGAGACTCAACTGATATTAAAAGAGTGATTGTGTGTGTTTTACAGGGCAAAATAAAATCACCTCAGCATGACCAGATTTGTGTGGAGACTACTTTAATTAAAAATAACACAGCGAAGAGAAACGACTGATACATGTCCTAATGCTGTTGTCTTGTGGCTGCCATCGCATTATCAAAGTGGATGCTGCGCACTGGTGGTGGTGTGGAGAGAACCCCCTCTCATAAATGTGAAGCGCTTTGGGTGATTAGACATACACAATTAATGCGCTACATAAATACACATTACATCACAGGAAAATTTGAACCAGAAATATTTTTATATATATTTTTTTTTTCTTCTTTTTTTTTCTTTTTTTCTGCAGTTTAAAGGCCTGTTTGTTTGTGAATCCCAAACCTTTTTGAAGCATTCAGGCCCAGTGAATAATAATTGTAACTTTAAGAAAGATTAATTATATTTATGTATATATAAACAAGGAAGTCTATACAGAGTTATTTTACATTCGATTGTTCAGTTTGTTTACATGAATACTGCTAGATTCCCATAAAAATAAAAAAAACGCTGTTTATTTCATTTGTATCTTTGCTCAATCTTTCAGTGCTTGTGATTGGTTTATTAGACTTTATGCAGTGCAAAATCATCCCAGTTATTCTAAAATGATCAATTATTTCCAGAACTATTAAGTACATCTGCTGAAAATATTCCTAATATTGCAATATGCATCACAGAAAAATAAAATATCACAATGTCAGTTTTTTCACCCAATATCTTGCAGCCCTATATCAAGTTTTACATGGTGTTGTTTTTACTTAAAACTAAATATACTTGGCTTGAACAAGTTTTTTACAAAATATTATTTAAAAAATAATGCTGATGTAGCACAGTGGCGAAGTGGGTAGCACGTTTGCCTCACAGCAAAAAGGTCTCTGGTTCAATGCTGGGTCAGTTGGCGAATCTGTGTGGAGTTTGTATGTTCTGCCCCTATTCGCGTGGGTTTCCTCTGGGTGCTCCGGTTTCCCCCACAAGTCCAAAGACAAGTGCTAAAGGTGAATTGGGTAAGCTAAATTGTCCGTAGTGTATGTATGTAAATAAGTCTGTATGGGTGTTTCCCAGTGATAGGTTGCAGCTGGAAGGGCACTCGCTGTGAAAAACATGTGTTGGATATGTATTTTATTTGAACACAAAATAAGACAAAAGAAAGCAATATGGGAACAAGAGACTTGTTTTTATTTTCTTAGCTGAAAACTATGTTGAGTGCAGTGTGCCTGTGTAAATACACTCTCTCAGCTTGCATTTAAACAAAACTTAATTTCAGATGGCAGATTTAAAATTCACACTTTAACAGGACTTCCCTACAGAATGTATCAGCACAGTAGCCAAGAGGAGTGGCTTTTGTGGCTTTTGGCACACAATCTGAGCACTGAGTCTTTGAATTTAATCTGGTTGAATGCGGTTTTCCGCTACCACTGGAAGTGGTCAGAGGTGAACAAGCTCAAAACTATTCAAACCTGGTTGGTTTACACATTTATTTAGTGTCCAAAACTTGTGATCAGATTGACGTAATGCATTTTAACTCCAGGTGAAAACAGAACTGTTTTTTACTCAGTCAAACTATAGCAAATGTCCAAATTGCTCTAATTTTACATGTAAAACAGATCAGACCACATTTCATCTGTCTCACTGATATCTCTGTTGTCAGACCAGGGTTAGACCATCATACATTTCTCTCCTACCTACCATGAATGCACAACGAATAGGTTTCATTTATTGCATTCATTTACTCTGGCAGGTCTTTGAAGTAATTTCACAACAGACATCACCTGCAATAAAGCAGCTTCAAGCCCATTCATGTCATGGTTTCCATTCAGACTAAGATTTCTAATCGCTGCAGCTCGACAGTAGGTTAATATTCGCACACATTCACGATCACGTCCTTTGATGAGCATTCAATGTGACCGTTAACAACCCATAAGACACTCATTAAACAGACAATTTCCTATTATTCTCCAGTGAAGAATACGAGTAAAACAGGTTATCGAAGCAGCACAGAGCTAAATCCAGTCAAGCACCTTATTAAGTGATGCTTTCCAACAACTCTCTATGACTTCTGCTAATTGAGCGTCTGTTTGTCTCCATGGAGAATAATGGGGGCTGCCACCAAAGTTGGCAGGCTGTGGAGGAACTGTATCCTCTGAAGTGCAGTACACAAAAAATGCATATTGCGGGGTGCTTTTGATGTGGAACTGAAATGCCCCAACAACTATCACATACTGTACCGCTACAATAAAGAGAGAGTCCACAGAGGGCACTTGTGAAGACCCTTCTGAAATAAAACGCTGGTACGTGCTAAGAAAAGTCAACTTGTTTCTCTTGTTTCGGCTTCTCTGAGATGGCTACCTGTGGACTTTCAGATAATCGTCAAACATTTGTTCGAGGTTATTAAAGCAGTGCAGGGCATTGCTCCTTCTTATGTGTCAGAGCTTATTGCTCCACACCAAGCACCAAGTAATAAATGATTACTTAGCGGATCCACAAACTGTTTTGAAAATTAAAGGGGACCAGGCCTTTTCTATCACTGGTCCAAGGCTGTTAAAGTTATTTTTTGCCGTTGTGCTTTAAGTGGTTGGATACGTTTTTGACATAATATTGTGCTTTGTTTTTATTTATATTATCTATTTTTTTTTATTTATCTTAATTTGCTTTTCAGCTCTTTGGTCTATAGTTGTAGTTGGAAAGTGCTTTATAAATAAAGTGCAAGTGAAACTTCATAAGTCATGATAGTTCGGTTAACTTCGAGATCAGTAAAGGGGAAAGAACCACAAATAAAGTTACAAATTTGCATTCCAATTTGCACAAATTAAATAATAAAACTCATAAAAAAAGTGTTTTCATGACCAAAAAAAAAAAAGCGTGGGGGATTGAGAGATTTGCAAGTCAAGTCAACCCATTCTACTGTTTCAAGCTAATAAGCTGTGGATTGGCCTTAAGGCTGATTTATATTTCTGTGTCAAGAGCACGCGAATGCTTCAGCACAGCCCTTGCGGGGTCGCATAGTCCTCACCGTGGCCACCAATAATGCACAACTCTCAGAAAATTTTACTACACGTCGCAACGCTGGCATTTTTTTATTTCTGACAGTGTAGACAACAACAGTGGCACGCATATTTAAAGTCATGGAAAAAAATAACAGACACTGAAATGCATGTAGTCATTTCGATCAATATGGTAATTCTAGGTGGAAATGATCAGAACTTTTTGTGTTTTGTAATTTAAACAAAATATCAATGTCAAAGGGAAAAATACACATATTTATGAAAAGTCAGTGAATTATAGATATGTGTGTTTAATTTTTTTATAAGTGTTTAATTTATTTATTTAATTTATTAAGTTATTAAATTGCAAAAAAAAAAAAGTCAAAACAACCCTCTCTGTATAGTTCTAGTGTTAATATATACAGTGAACAAACGTAAATTCAATTTCCCAGAATAATCTGCATTACACTTTACTTTTATTAATTTATTTATTTGTGTGTTCTCATTAAAATTAGCATTTTAAGTTACATTTAAAGGCTCGTACAAACTGGGACGCTTTTTGTTTGTTTATCGTCAGCATTTTTCAAGACGTTCAAAACCCATGAGGCGTTTATTTATTTTTTTTTTTAAATGACAGTTTATGCCTGTCGTTTTTCGCGTTGATGTGCACGATCAAATTGACACCTTTTATTAAGTCACGAGGCATTAAACATCAACGGAAAATGCGAGCAAAAAACTTCTCGGTGTGCACAGGCCTTAATGTTGGTAAATGTTTACTGCAACACTGTTTTGTGTCGTGTGTTAACATGATGCTGTTCAGTTGTGTGAATCACACCAACCAAAAGC